GCGGTCGACACGACCTTAGATTGCATCTCCATGAGTTTTTTCATCATCTCCTACATTTATCCTATTCCTTCAAATCCATCATCCATTTGACTTTCAATAGAAAAAATCTGTCTTCCCTGATAGCGAACTTTTCTTCTATTTCCGATCGGATTTTCTCTACCTCTCCTTCTAGCATATCAACTTTTTTAGCTGCCACCCCACTAAAATGTATGCTCTGATACCAATTTGATATGTCTTGAGAGTAAAATCAGTGAACAAACATGACAATCTCAATCGATAGGTGGAAAAAACACAAATAACGTCTGCTCATACAACAATCAAAGGTAAACAAATAAGATATAAGGTTGATCTATTATCCGAGAGGTAGATCATTTTTCCCACACCCCAGACGTTGCTAGGAATATCATAAGAAGAAAAGAAAACAGTAGCCCCAACAAAATATGCATGAAAGAAAGCAAACCCTAGGTTCTCCCCCTAGTAGAATCCTTTCCCAGCAATTTCAAAAACTTTCATTCCTAACTTTCTCTTTCTTGCATAGGTAATTATGGCTCTAGTGGAGCCCACTCTTTTCTTTCCTTCTTTAACAACTCCCTTTGTATGCTCCGTTGCTTTTTGTCGCCAAGACTGGCTCGCCTGTGCGGCGATTATGATGCTTCCAGTTGGTCCAGGGTGGACCGGCTTGTGTTAAGGCGACTCGTTACCCTCGTGTAAGGGCGAAACACCATCCCAATCTATCACATACTCTCTAAACAACCTGTCTTAACCTGCTCCAGTGCTATATTGGGCTAAAGAATCTCTAATTTTTCCCTTCAAAGTTGTATGTATCATCAATTAATATAGTTGAACCATACTTTTATCACCAGAATCAACGATAGATAACTACAACCACTCTAAATCTTTAATTAACTGCTCCTGTTGAGTAAATAAATAGTTCAAATGGCCTGAAGTATTTTTACTCAGCGCATCAACAAAACAATTCACCTTCCTCGGATGATATTGAATATCTAAATCATAATCTTTAAAAAATTCCAACAATCTCCTCTGCCTCAAGTTCAATTGTTTCCGAGTGAGGATAAGATTCAAACTCTATTGATCAGTAAAAATTTTACATCTAACTCCATATAGATAATGTCTCTATATCTTGAGTGCAAATACAACCGTAGCAAGCTCCAGGTAATGCATAGGATAATTCTTTTCAGGATCCCGCAATTGTCGTGATGCATATGCAATGACCCTATCATGCTGCATAAGCACATAACTCCCTTCAAAGATGCATCGCTGAAAATTTGAAGTCCATCGGAACCCGAAGGAATGACTGATAATGCGGTAGACATTAAACAATTTTGAGCCTCTGAAAGGCCTCCTCACAACAATCTAACTAGTTAAACTTTACTGCCTTTTGAGTTAACATTGACAACGACATATCAATCTGTGAAAACCCCTCAACAAACGTTTTGTAATGACCAGTCAGACCTAGAAAACTCCTGATCTCAGTGACAGTAGTAGGTCTTGGTCAATCTGCAATTGTCTTGACCTTATTTTGATCCACATATAGTTGAGGCACACTTTTGTGGGTGTTTTCAGACACATTTTTTAGTGCCTTTGGACACATTTTTTAGGATAACTTCGGGTATGACAGAAATCCTGTGATAATTTTTAAAAAGGTTAAAAAGTTTAAATATTTAAAGTGAAATGAAAAATGATAAAGTTAAAGTGTTAATGAATTGAATTGTATTTTTTTTGTCATTCATCCATAGCAAAACATAAAAATTTAATGTGTATTAGATTATAATTACTCACTAAGTTATATTTACGGTTGCAATTACTATTTTCTTTCAGGAAAAATGAAAAATTTAGGTTGATATGTCAGATATGAGAGACTTGGTTTATAGGAGAATCATTGCTGCTAGGTAGTTTTATAATGATAGTTTTTCTTTATTGTTTCTTTCAAATATTGATATACTGTTTAGTACTGACTTGAGATGCTATCTTTGGATGTTATTGTTTTTGGATGCTTTAGATTTATTGCACTTTTTAGATTAGTAGCTCTTTTTTATGTATTGGAAGTTTTCAAAAGATGAATAATTAGGCGTTAATATTGTCCAACTGCAGTCCTCGCCTTAATTAATTCTAAGCACCGGGTCGGGTTGTGAGAAACATAATGTGTATTCAATGACTCGAGAGGCTACAACTTTTGAGTGGCGTGTCATCATTCTTTGTGCTTCTCTTGGAAGTCGTAGAATTCAACTACTCTCTTAACAATTCCAATCATTCTCCTCGAACGACGATCCTACAAAATACAACCATCATATAAGAAATTAACAATACAATTGACATCATTTGTCAACTTGCTGATAGATAACAAGTTACATTGCAATCAAAAAACATGTAAAACAGACTCCAGAGTTAGACCAATCGTTACAACCGACCCCTTACCAGCAATGGAGCTACATGATCCATCGACATTTATGATGTTATTTTTTGCAGAGCTCGGATAGTAAGTCGAGAAAGCTTGCGAGCAGCCATTCATGTGATCCGTGACATTTGAATCAATAATCCATGGACTAAAAGAGGAATAAACTGTGAAAGCCATAGGAAGAGTATCTTATCGGATGTGGGAGGTTGACAGACTCGCAGAAACTTGATTGACTCCAATAAGCTTGATCAATTGCTCCATCCGATTTTTTAGAGAATTCGAGGATTCCGGGATGTTCCCGGTATGAGTCAGTTGAGCTATGGTTGGTTAAACTGTCGCTGTGAGACCCTTGCAGCAGAGTATTTGACTGAAGATTTGTATATCGATTTACCGTGAAGTTTCCAACACTTGTCCCGAGTGTGGTTGAGTTTGTGATAGTAATCATAAGTGGGTGATTGGTCTAAGGTGACATGGACGAGGGCTGAGCAATGTTTGAGATCATGGCGGATGCTTCAGCTGAAGGAGTAGAAGTGCCGAGCATGGCAAGTCTCTTGCTTTCTTCCCGATGAATCTCAGTGAAAGCAACGTGAGCGGAATGAAGAGGATCCTAATTAAGGTATACGGTCCCGGACTTCTTCAAGATCTTTGTTAAGGCCAGCAAGGAATTGGAACATACGTTCCATTTGTACAATTTTTTAGAAGAAGAATAAGTTGGCCGATGAATCCCAAGAGTAGTCGTAATACAGGTCGTATTCCATCCATAGTGCAATAATGTCATTATGTACTGTCTCGGTCCTTAACTATTGTTTTGCATGCCAAATCTTTTTAGATATTTCATAGAGTTGGTCGGAATTTTCAACATCTAAGTAGGTATCACAGACAGTCGTCCAAAGGGGCATTAGTTGAAGGGAGGAACATATATAATCGGCCAATCGAAGTCTCTATGAAGTTGATTAGCCAAGACTTGATCATGGAGTTCTCCACTTCCCAAGCTCCATAGGTCGGGTCAGTCTTTGGATGCTTGCAAACTATTACTGTGAGGTGACCAAACTTCCCACGTTCTTTAATGAACAAAGACACCGATTGAGACTATTGAAGAAAGTCATTGCTGTTCAGTTTATTGGTTGTGATTAAGAAATTCATATTGATTTTCAATCCTCCATTCTGCGAGGGAGCGGGACTTTGAGTCGATCTTCCGGGGAATCAAGAACACCTTCTGAAGGTGATCTAGTGCTGGAGGAATTTGACATAATTCTGATTGTGCCAAATGAGATGTTTTTATTCTGATCCATCAAAGAATTCTGGTAGGGTTACGGCAGATGAACTAATAGTAAGAAATTCTGATCCTCTGGTCTCGACCTATCTCTGGCATAAGAACTATGGCTACTGCAACAGCAGGGGTTGCAAAGCATACGACTGGAAGAATACCACATAATTTGTGGCAGAAGGGGTTACCGAACACTGCTGGAATTAGACAGTAAGCTGCTTGTATTACCGTAGGCGGTTGGATCAGGCAGCAGGAAGACTGGTGGCTGCGGTTGCTGGAACATAGGGCTGCGGTTGCTGCAGCCTGCTGCTGGAACTGACAGAGGAAGTCGAACTACGAGAGGAAGCTGACAGCTAGGAGGTGGCAGTAGATGGAAATGGTGGTGGAGGCCGGTGGCTGTGAGATCTAGGGTTTGGCTCTGATACCATGATGAGGGTTGGAATAGAGCAACTCAATATTATTGATAGCAGAATGAGTATTTAAACCCGATTATAATAAATATGATAAATGAAAGAAATAAAAAAAATAAAACAATTAGAGAAAGAAAATAAAAAATAATAAAATAAAATAGGAAATACATATGAGGAAATAAGAACAAACAACAAGTAATAAATACTAGGGATTGCCGTTATGATATAATTGGATGATTGAAGTTAGTAGGTAAGTATCGGGGCATTTACACATGTAACACACAATTCTTATGTATTTACATCTCTCACACCTAAACTTTCATATTTACGCACATAGTACTCAAGTCATTAATATCACATATAAAATAATACTATTATCACTTTTTAAAAATCAAATACATCTTTTCATGTGCAGGTTTAAAGCACCAAAGTGTAATGGATGTAAATATGGAAGTTTAGGCGTGTGATGTAAATTTATAAGAATTGAGTGCTACGTATGTAAATTCCCCAAAAGTATATATTTGACATTTTTTGATGAAATATGTTGTCGATTGAGTAAAGATTGAGAAGTAAATAACGTGATATCAGATATTATTAGATTGGATCTCCTTATATGACCACATGCTGGTGTTCAAGTTAAAATATAAAAACATGCTTTAAGTCCTAAGTTAACAACTGCCTATTTGTTGTACTTTAATGGTTTCTGTAGAGCTAGTTGAATTGCTATCATTGTGATTATTGATCTATATCTTGTAATTTTTTTTAAACCATGGCAAAAATCTAGTCAATTAATATTGGTTTCCTCTTGAAAACTTATGATTGCTCCATCTATGTAGGATACAATTATATAGATTATTGATAAAAAAAATGAAGATGCTAAACATAATTTTTTATATTGTTGCTGCAGGATGGTGCTACTTTGATGCATTATGCGGTGCTTGCTGCATCAAGTGACTGCATAAAGATTCTAATGCTGTACAATGTTGACATTAATCTAGCTGATAATGTAAGCTGCAATATCTTTTCCTTAACTGTAGTATTAATTTTCTTAAAAGTTTGAATTTTAACTTTTATTTTCTTTTATAGGATGGATGGACACCACTACATCTAGCTGTGCAAACTCAAAGAGCTGATATTGTGAGACTTCTTTTGAAAAAAGGAGTTGATAGGACGCTTAAAAATAAGGTAACTATTATGTCCCCACCAACTAATAAAAATAATGTGTGCTTCCCTCAACAAAAAAAAAGAAAAAATCTCAGCTAAACCAATGTTTAAATGAATTTAAGTGTTTTCTTTGTTCAATGTCTTAGCCTTAGCCGCTATATGATGCATGGCATCTCAAGGTCTAGAGTTTCTTAATTTAGCTACCTAATATAATGCGCAAATTCATAGTCATGAAATCAAAACTCGTGGCTTCATCTTTTTTCGCTTAAAAATAAGGAAAATGCATTAGATTTGCCTCAAATGATACTGAAATGATCACTCTATAATAATTTTGCATAGAATTTAAATATCATTAAAAGTTACATTTCTACTGGAAATTACACTGCAAAAGGAAATATGAAATTGTAAATTTTTTTTCCAAATTCAACTACGCAGATGAACAATCGTTAAAATCTTTGAAGCAAAAAAAAAAAAACAAAAAAAAAAAATAATTCATCGAAATTAAACAACTTTTGCACATCGCTTGAATGATCTACATCTAACCAGCACTCAAGTGCAAAACAAAATGAGAAACTTAACAACTTTTTATTTAACGTCATCTGTTAATCATCTCATTTAGCTCAAGTATTCATTTTTATAATAACAAAACCGTCCCTCAAAAAACAACTATATCTTTTTGTTGACAGTTGATTCAATTTGCAAAGGCCTTGGAAATTATGACGAAAATATGATTTTGAATTCCTACATCTTCAATAATCTCCATCCCTTCTGTGAAAAAAAAAAATCGATGAATGCAGTTTGAAGATTATTAAATAGAGGTCTTTGTGCAGGCCCAAAAAATTTTGGTGTCCGAGGGATTGTAAAATTTCTTAGCAATTGGATTTGAAAATCTATTAAAGGTTCCCATAGCAGTGATAATTATTCATGGCGACTATTTAAGAAGCAATAATATAATTCTTTTTTGCCGGAAATAATCCAAGGATGGATCAAATTTTATTAAGTGCTAAAGTACGTGATCCCTTTTTATATTACTGTGTTTTGGTACGACAACAATGACAACATGATCAGGTATTGGAAGGAAAAATATAGTCATAATGCCCCTCTTCTAACTAAATTCAACAAATTGGCGAATTTCAGCTTGAACAGGTAACATAAAGTCGTAATTTTTGTACTTATTGGCTAGAGCAATCACTAGAAATGGACTGTACTCTGTTCTCTTAGAACTTTGAAGCAAATGAGCTTTTAGCAGAAAATTTGTTCTTTCTCTATCAAAGATGAAATTATACTGGAACTTTGATGACAATAATAAATTCACTGCTAGTTCTTTTTCTTCTTATGAATTTTGGCTTATTGGTAATATGGAATGTATTTGCAACTCTATTGTTCCTCTTAAAGTTGTTATATATATATATATATATATATATATTATATGGAAAATAATAAATCTCTATTAAGATCAAAAAGAAGTTACAAGTCTACGGTGTGGGGCATTAAACATGTCCCCCTGAAACAAAAAAACTAAGTGAAGAGGTTGGTAAGGTAGAAACACAAACATTTTGGGACTCTCCACCACTTTTAACTAGGAAATTTGCAGGTCTATTATCTTCTCTGTAGATAAATTTGAAAGTGACCATGATCTCCTTCCTCATGTTTTGAATCTGTTTGATCCACTGAAGTATATGCGAAGGAGGGTTGTTCTTTCCTGTAATATAGTTCAAGAGCTGAGAGGAGTCCACTTCTAACTGCAAAAGTATCCATTTGTTGAGGCTGGCCAGCTTTAGAGCCCAGTACATGACCACAGTTTCAGCCTCCATTGCATCCACAATAATGATAGGAGATTGAAAGAAAAGCAAGCATCTTTGTTGGTGATCTCTGAACACCCCACCTATTCCAGCTCCTTGTGAGGAAAAGATCCCATTAGTGTTGACTTTGACGGAAGGGTGGGTAGGATTTTCCCAAAAAACTTTTGACACAGAAAATATAGTAGAGCCAACAGTTCTGCATATATTCAGAATATTGGGGAAGTGTTTCAGCTGGATGAGTTTTCTAATGAATGCTAAACAGTTGGAAACCGCCTTCCCAATTGTGACTAATTGGTCTTCATATTTGACTTGATTTCTAGCAGCCCATATGAACCAGGCAGTAAGGAAGGAGATAGGACCCAGCTTCAGTTTCTGCCATCCACTCCAGCATGCTAATAGACAATTCCACTCTAAATTCATTGTATTTAGCCGTATCTGTGTTAGCAGGGAATTCCAGACTACCTGGGAGAAGTTACAGGCAAAGAAACGATGGCCAGCAGACTCCACAACATCCTTACACAAGGATCACATGGAAGGGCCTCTCAGTCCCTTGAGTTTAAGGATTTCATCTGTAGGCAATAATTTATTGAAGAATCTCCAGCAGAAAAAAGGCATGAAAGGGGTTAGGAACTTCTTCCACAAGCTTTCTCCCCAGGACACCTCATTCCACTGATACAACTTAGAATATATTGCTTTAGTCAGACTTTGAGTGGAGCATGAAGTTAGAACCAATCTGTCTTTTTCTGTTTCTGTCAAATGGTATCCCAAAGATTAGTTCAGTAGAATTTTCATTGAGGAAGGAATTTAGACCAGGAGTTTCCGTCCCAGCAGTCCTCCACCATAAGTTCAGTGTCAAGATTCTCAGGATGGGATTCAAGAATTCCTCTGGACACCATCTATCCAACCAAAAATGTATATTGCCTTGACCCAAATCCCATAAGTAAAGCCTTTTAGCATCCTCCCTGACATTGAGCAGATTCCCCCAGGTTTTGAGTCCCCAATCCTTCTGGAAACCAGATTGGGGTGTGGAGATCTACATTATTTAGCCAACGAAAACTGTGCCCAAATTGTATTCTACTGTCTGAATCTGAGCCACAGTTTGCATAGGCTAATATGTTGAAGCTGTTGTAGTCCCTTGAACCCCAAACCTCCAACCGAAAATGGTTTAACTTTTTGCCAGCTGGCCCAATGCATTTGTTTTCTCTGCCTTGCCCAGAGAAATCTGTTGAAGGTTCTATCCAAGAGAAGTTGGGTCCTTTTCTTCATTACTGCCATTTGTAGAATATAGGATGGGAAGGTAGTGAGGATGCTTTTCAATAGTGTAATCCTGCCTCCATTTGAAAGGAAAGAGTTGGTCCAACATTTTACTTGGGAAGTGGTTTTGTCCACTACCTCATCAAAGTGAGTAAGTTTAGTTCTTCTTTTGAGCTGCTGCACTCCCAGATATTTGAAAGGGGTGGATATTAGAGTAAATCCTGTGAGATTAGTTATCCATTGCTTGATGGAAGGGGAAATTCGTTTGCTGAAGAGAACTTGTCATTTTTCTTTGCTTGGCTGCAGCCCAGAAGTTTCTTGGAAATCCAACAGACGGGTATGTAACAGCTTAGCAACAGCTTTATTGGCTCTAGAGAATATGATTATATCATCTTCATACACCAAGTGTCTGATATCCAATGTGGATTTGCTATGAAATTTTTTATAGCTCTTTCTATGGGTGGGCCTATCTATCAATGTAGAGAGAGTCCAAAGCAAGGATAAAGATAGTGGGAGATAACGGGTCTCTTGTTTGAGACCCCTGGAGGCTTTGAAAAAGTCATGAACTTTCCCATTGATGAATACCGAGTTTACATTCCCTTCTAACCATCTTTTGATGATCAAACATGAAGCACCGGAAAATCCCCTGGCCACCAATGTTTCCAACACAAACTCCGAGTTTATCATATCATAAGCCTTTTTCAGATCAGATTTGTAAATTATGTTACCCCCCCTACATGGTTTATCTAATTCATGGAGCAATTCTTGTGTAAGGAGCACATTGTCCCCAATATACCTCCCCTTAACAAATGTTGCCTGTTTTGGACTGATTAGATGATTCAAATGGGGTTGGAGCCTCCTCACAAGTATTTTGTTGATAATCTTGCTAACCACATTAGTAAGACTAATGGTTCTGAAATGTTGCCACTGCTATTTTGTGGAGGATTTGGGAACAAAGACAATTGTGGCAGCACAAAAGTAATTTGGTAAGTCAGGCCCTGGAAAAAACTTTGGATAGCCAACACTACATCACCCTTGATGATGTCCCAAGCCTACTGCTAAGGATCATTGGAAGGATAGTGATCACCCAAACCCATTAATCAAACTCTGGTGCCTGCAGAAAAAAGTTGGGAAGGCCCTCAATCACTGGAACCGGATCACCTTTGGTAATGTGTTGGCTGGGGTGGAACAGGCTGAAAAGGAACTGAAGGAATTAGAAACTGCAGCTGCTAATGGGCTGGTTGATGAGGTCTCACTACTGTAAGCAAATGAAAAACTGCTTACAGCTGTGGCCTGGCAGGAGAACTTTCTGAAACAAGATGCTTCCACCAACAGATTTACTGATGGGGATAGGAACACTAAGTTCTACCATGCTTGCATTAAGCACAAAAGAAAATGTAATACTATTCACTCAATCAAAGATGAACATGGCTGCCGGATTAAGGACTCCTCTGATATTGCTGAGAGTGCAGTGGAATACTGTAAGAAGCTAATGCAACTCTCAAACTATCCAAGAGTGCAGCTGGACACAGAACAGTTTCTCTCTGATCATGTGCACATTACCAATATAAACCCTGCTGAAGTTCCTAGTGAGGAGGAAATCTGGCAGGCCCTCTCCTCCATAGACAGTGCCAAATCAGCAGGCCTATATATATATATATATATATGTGGCCATTTACATACATACCTCTCAATTCCTATGTATTTACATATCTAACACCTAAAACTTACTTTTTAACTTTTTACATTTATACCTAAAACTTACTTTTTACATTTATACCACCCAAATCTTTTATATCATATGAAAAATACTACTATTTTAACTTTTAAAATTTAAAATACATCTTTTTATGCATAGATAAGGTGTCATATGTGTGAAAATTGAAGTTTAGGCGTTAGATGTGTATATACGTTTAGGGTTTAGGTGGTATGCACGGAAATCTTTCTTTTTCTTATTTACTTATTTGAAGAATATTTGTAGTAATGTTTACTTTAAGATTTGAGATTTCTTTTTTCTATGACATGTAGCATATGCAAGGCATCCCCAAAATATGACTTCAATCTTTTTTTTCAACAACTGGGATATTAATAATATTTTGCAGAAGAATTTTACAATTTGTTGGAGTTAGGACACATTTTAGTAGTTGGAAAAGAAAGCACATTAAGGGAGTGTTTGGTAGCATAATTTTAATAATATTTAGCCATGAATTTAGTGCAAATGCAGCCAAATATAAAAGAAACGAAAATTAAATCGAACGCTATGTTAAATCAAATTTTTTCACATTCTATTTTTTCTTCTTGCATTTCGTCTTTTTTTACGACTTAAATCCAGATTTACTATATCCGATTGCGAGGGGAATTTAAGAATTTCTTCCGTCGTGCTGCGAATGTCATCTCCTTCGCCATCTCCATCAATATAAATCCGGATTTATTAAATCCTATTTAACGTAAATAGGGGTTGCAGCCAAACACCCCCTAATGGTCATTATAGAGGTGGTCTATGAGACACCTTCACTTGAATTTGGTCTATTTGAGATCGAGAAATAGTGCTTCCTTCAATAAAAGTAAGGTTGATGACAAAATAAATTGGTTGATTATAATCAGTTTGGTCTACCTTTGGTTCTCTTCTAGGACTAAAAAAGTTGAATAGATCAAGTGGCTATGTCATTCCTCGATATTCTAAGGAATTTTACCTTCCATTTTCGTAGTCATTATTTTTGTGTATCTTTTTTTTTATTTTCTTTTTCTTCTCTTTTTTTAATATAGATAGAAGAGTCTAGCATCCTTCTTTCATCGACTGCATTTACAACTTGTTTCTCTTCTTGACTTCTATGCTTGTAAATTGCAATGCTTTATTTTCAATATTTTTTTTTTCTTGTTAAAGCAAGGTTACTACTTGAACTATTCTTTTTTTTATTCCGAACTAATGCGGCACATATTCGAACTCATATTTACAATTAGGAAGATTTACATACATACCACCTAATTCCTATGTATTTACATATTTAACATCTAATCCTCCTATCCATGAAAAGGTGTATTCACTTTTTACAAGTTAAAATATTGGTATTTATGATGTGATATGAAAGATTTGGGCAGTATTTATGCAAATGAAAATAAAAATTGGATAGTATTTATGCAAATGCTCCTTTCTGTTATTGCGTCTGCTGCACTGTGATTATTATTTAACATTGTCACTGGTTTTATTTTTATAACAATAAATCATCATTTGATCGCTCAGGCCAACTTCTCTGTTTCAGGACGGGTTAAAACCACTGGATCTCTGTCTTTATTGTGGCCATAATGTGAAAACCTACGAAATTATCAAGTTGCTTAAGGAGGCTCCAAAGCCGAATTCACATGGATGAGAGTGGTTTATGCTGGAAGCTCCATAAAATCTCTTCATTTTACATATCAATCATTATAATTTGCAGGTAAATAGAATTTGTTTCTATTTACTCAGTCTTTCTAAGCAGCCGTCTTCGCTCATATTAATTGCGAGGAGCTTGCATCCTCAACTCTAGACACTTTATATGAGATTTAAATGATAATTGGAATACATTTACTTCATTAGGTAAATGCTATTGTTAGAATAATTGCAGAACTACAACGTAAATCAATAACATCAATATTTATTCAGAAAACCTTTGATGTAAAAGCTGCGGGCAAGGAAGAAGTGTGTCTGTGTAAAAACTATTAAGGTTCCGTGTGCCGCTTTTCATGATTGTTTGATTGACAGAGTTTGTAAAACCTCTGGGGTCATAGGTTCGATCCTGTCTTATGTGAAAAATGAAATTCTCAAGCACATGAGGTTGGTCAAGAAGCTCGTCTAATAGAATTCTGCCATTCTTTTTTAATATATAT